GCTTTCATCGCCGTCACTATGGCAACGAACGCCGAATGACCTCTTCGGACGGCGCGTGTCTCACTGGCCGTGTTCTAAAATTCACTCGTTCTTACTCCAGGGTAAGGGTTTTGTATCTTGGCGTTCTAAAACCAACCCGCGTCCAGCGCTTTTCAATATGTGTTGTCACGTGACACGACCCACCAGCGTAACTCGTGTCCGTTTGGGTAAGATTTGAAACACAGCCACTAAAAAGCGTGTTAACACCCCTCCCCCCCCCCCCCCCCCCCCTTCCCCTGGACCTGCGTTCACGCCGCTTCGCGGCGGCAGTCTGCGGCTGCTCATTACAAACTAGACTATTTTCAAGAATACGGGCAAGTTTTGGAGACCTTCTCGGACAAACTAGACCCTACTAAGTTTAATTTTCTTCTCGGCGATTTCAGCGTGCCTGGTGACTGGTGGAGCAGCGATTCCTTAGCCACCAGCTTTCAGAAAAACAAACAACTTTTTTTTAAATTACATTGATCTATATTGCGGTAAAGTTTCTCTAAACAAATTTGGTAATGCTTTAGACGTTTTTTCACTAATCTTGAAACTTATATTGTAGCTGGTGTCAGTAGTCCAGTCGTTCCAGTTGATGTGTGGCATGTCTCATCTTCTCTTAACCTTAAAGTGCAAGTCGTACGCATTTCTCCGCGGCACAGCGCTGGCCGTCCCGGCGGCCGAGGCTCGCGTGTTATTATTAAAAAATTGGGCGACTGTTACATACACAGGGAGCGGTGGAAATGAAATTTCAGTTGATAGACATCGCTGTAGTCAGTCTCGTCCTTGCTCTGTCCTTGTTTTGTCGCGCTGTTTCAAACTACGATGATTTGGAAAATGCTCGGAAGCGCCACCATCGACAGCGTACGCGTTACGTCATATAGTGAAGCGCTGCCCGCTCCGACCTCTAATGCGACCGCAGCATCTCGGCCGCGTCTCTACATTATTGCGACAGTTTGTCTTCATATCGCTCCTGAGTAACCGCTCATTCACACTGAAAGCGGATCCGCGTTCGCAAAGCGGTTGCGAATGCGGTTGTATAAAGATACAGTACAATTGCACGCGCACTCGGTGACATCAAGTGCGCGTGCAATTGTACTGGATATTTATACAACCGCGTTCGCAACCGCTTTGCGAACGCGGATCCGCTTCCAGTGTGAATGAGCGGTAAAGGTTCGGCACCTTGACGTTCAAAGAACGTATTCATGTCCAGCGTCGCTCTGTGTGTGCTCTCATGTGATTCGACTCGCAGGAGCTGCTCGGAGCTCGGGTTAAGTCGCGTCACTCGCAGCCGAAAGCGACAACGACGTTTGCAGCTGCGTCGGAATATGCCTTTACGAAGTGCTTGTCTCTTCGACGGTTGGGAAATCACTACGAGACGACATTCAACACTGCTCAATCTTCCTGAGAAGTATCTTTTGCTCCTCTAAAGGGCTGTCCAAACAGAGTACAGCAAGATGGCGCACCGTGATACAGCACCCGCAGAAGCCAAAAACCGGCCCACACTCGTTCGTTTTTTTTTGTTTTTTTTTTGCTTCTGTTTTGTGTTGATCACGTGGGTCCTGCAGGCCGCCACTTTCACGCACTGTTGGCTATCAGACAAGGCTAACCGTTGTTGTTCAAGTCTGAAGATCCCAAAAACGGGAAAGAGAAGGATATGAGGACGAAGAGGCGAAACGTCTTCGGCCTTCCTCCCGTGACGACGGTGGCAGCAAGCCGCGACAAAACAGATAGAGAGGCACATCATTGGCAGGTCCTGTGTGACGTCATAAAAACGCCCAGGAGGCGAAGAGGAATGCCGTGCTCTTTGCGTGGTTGATGTCTAAACTAAAAAGGGACGGGCATACAGCAACTTTTCAGGTGCTGCATCGCCGAACACCATCTGCCGTGTTCTGTTTGGCCACCCCTTTATTAGATTGCCCTGCGCTCGCTAGCGGATCGGTTACACGTACTGGGATCGATATGGTCGCGGTTGTTTTCGCCAGCGCATCGGTGGGGGGGGGGGGGGGGGGGGGGAGGGGATTGATGTTGTCAATTTTCAGCTCCTGTCTAAACAAAGTTAGCGCCGAGTTTGGTTTTGAGCGTTTTGAATTGCGCTCAAATCATATAAGGTGAATATTTATTAGAAACTATAGGTCGGTTGCCACGCAATATGTCTACGCAAAATGCTTGCTATATTCCGTTCACCCCTAAGTTGACACTGGGGTGGAAGCTACGACCTCGTTGAACGAATCATACGCCTCTCTTTTGCCACGTGATCTCGCTCTCGCCAATAACCACGCGCAGAGAGCCGGGTAAGGTGGTGAAAGGTAGGCGGCTGATTGTGCGCCACTACATTCTCAGCGTATGGTTGAAAGAAGTATAAAAGCTGCACCATGGCACCACCCTCTCGTAGCACTCTTCCGACAGAGTGATCATGACTCATACCCAACGGTGAGTGACGAATCTTTTCGGGGGAATAAAATGCAAAATGGATATTCAAAGTTTGCACAACGCGATAATTATTAACCTTGATATTATATTAATACAGGATATTCTATACATACATTATTCAAGCACATCCTCCATAAAAATACGTGTCGTCGATTTCAACAGTCAATAAACATGGAAGGCCATAAAACACCATAAACATCCTGAATAAAATACAACTTCTTTTGTATTTTATAGCTCATTGCACGTACGGGCGTGTTTTAGGATAGATGGCAATATAGATGCTATAAATGATAGTGTCACAGTCTTTCTAAACCCCTATTGCCATGCACAACAGTCTAAGTGTAATGAGGGAAATAAAAATTTCGCAATATTTTATCGGGCACCACCATTTTGGCATTTCCACAGCTAGCGGGAATTCTTTCTCCAACTCTCACATCTTGCTCGTCTCGTTTTTTTTTTAGTTGCGATGACGAGACGTGTTTGTGGCTATCATTCAGTCAGTTTGCACGGGTAACATGTGCAGCTCTCTTGCCACCTACGTCATAAAAACAGAGTTTCATAGCTGATTCATACATCTGCATTTCAGCGCGATCGACTACTATGTAACCGCTCCTAATCGCTTACAAGGGAACACACTGGCACTATCTATCGGGCAGCATGGGAACACTGGCAATCTGCGTATAGTTTACGCATCATTCTTTAACCGTGTGCTTCAAATAATTTTGACAATGTTAAAAGACATATTTTATGTAAATATAGAAGCGTAGATTTGAACTCGTACGCACCATAAAACCCTCAGTCTAGTGAGTCCCGATTCCCACTGGAGCGACAAACAGAAACAGCCGACACGGACAAGCCCCAAAGCAGGTGCAGCGTGCACTCGAAGGCACTTCCGGCAGGCTTGGAGTCTCAGTACGCTTGAAGAAGGCACGAACCGTTGCTAGCGTGTAAAAGCTACCTCCGCGCGCTTGCTGTACATACGTGTGATGATCGCTAGTATCGCCACGGCGAAGAAGACGAAGCGCGCGCTGGGAGCGCGCGCCAGGGGAACGCGAAGAGATATACAAATGGTAGCCTAAGACCGAACGCTGTCGCTTCTTGGCCATCACGGTGGCAGTGGTGGGATGTAGAAGAACTCTGCCGTATTCGGTGAAATGCTCCCGAAAACGATGGTTGCGGTGCTCGGTGCAGGACCGACGTGACAGAAAGCTGAACTCTTTGGGTCTGGGCACACGGGCTCTCTACTTGTCGTTCGAGTTTTCTCTCGCTGAAGTCAACCCGAAATCGGTGTTTTATTAAAAAGTCCAGTCCGAGGACGAACTCATGTAGGATGCTGGGCATAACAATGACAGAATGGCTCACCGAGAGATCTGCAACCTCAATGTTTAAGCTGCATGTTCCCCATACTTCGAAGGCGGCGCCGTTAAGGCCAATGACTCCCTCTCGGTGAGTGAAATCAAGGTCAGGGTTGTCGCGCGAGAGCTCAAGCCACTTGTCGCCTCGTAAAATGGTCGCTGACGACCCGGAGTCGACAAGCATGTTCATGAAAATTCCGCCCACTTTCCCCTTCACTGTTACTTGGGGGTGCGGAAGAATTCCCTGATTTCCACGTTCTACAAATGTAGGGTTGTCACTTCGCAGTGGCGCACGCTGGTCAAAGTTTGCACACGACCTTGCGAGGTGGCTAGTACCGCCACACTGAAAACATCGTGGTCGCCTCCTAGGAGTGGTTCCGCGGGGAAAGCTTTGGCTGTGCTCCTGGCAGTGACTCTGCGACTCGATGAAACTGTTCATTGTGGCGCGAAGGTCCGCCACGCTGCTGGTCAACGCCGCAATGGCATCGCCCGTGGGTCGCGTGGTGGCTTCTGAAGTGTTACCGACGGCGGCGCACAGTATTGGTGTCCCCGTAGTCGCAGACAGATGCCCAGTGGATGTTAGTCTTGAGGCTATCGCAAGAGCTTTCTCAAATGTTGCAGGGTCAGCGGCGAGGACTTTGTCACGCAGCTTGGATTGGAGACCCACAATGAACTGGTCCCGTATCATCGGGTCGCCCACCTGGAGTGACACCTCTGGATAAGCCTGTCCAAAGAGGTCTACGAGGTCGTAGGCATAGACGTCTATGGCTTCCGTGGGTTGATGGCCGCGGGACCGAAACTGTGCCGCAGACACAGCACGCTGGCCCGCCGATGCCAAACGAAGTGTCAACGCCTTCACTATTGCGGGAAAAGTGGCCTTGTCTTGGTCGGGAAGATGCTCGAAGACGCGGAAGGCCCATCCCCGGAGGCGTGTCGGCAGGCACACCAACTTTTTGGCGTCGTCCCAACCGTTGGCTGCCGCGCAAGTGGAGAAGAGCCTTGCCCATGACTCAAAGCTTCCCTCACCGGTGAAGACGTCCGAGAGAACGGGGTGTACAGGTTCGGTGGCCATCCCACCGCTGCCACCAATTGTAACGTGATGGCCAAGAAGCGACAGCGTTCGGTCTTAGGCTACCATTTTTATATATCTTCGCGTTCTCCTGGCGCGCGCTCCCAGAGAACCCACCGCTGTTAGACATCCTCAACAACAAGCTTCACGTTGACGACCAAGTAGAAGAAAACGGTGACCAGGGCACTGACGGAGGCCGGCACAATACGCCACCAGCGAACGGTGTCGAACTCCAGGACGACGATCAACTTCCAGTCGTTCTTTTGCCCCCTGATGACATCACTCCAACAGACTTGCCTGTAGACGTGCCACAGCTGCCTGTGGCACAGGCATAACGTTACATACGTTATGCCTGTGGCTCTCGGCTGTTTCTGTTTTAGGGGCGAAGCTCCTTAGAGTCTGTCCGTCCGGCGTCCGTGCTTACATCGATTGCCATCCCATATGTCTTCTTAAAAAGAGAAAAAAATGTTTGCGCAGTCGACAGGTTTCGAACCTGTGCGGGGAGACCCCAATGAATTTACAGTCCATCGCCTTAACCACTCGGCCACGACTGCGGGACGAGTAGGGGGCTCTGGGATGTGGTAGTAACTCAAGAGCTGGGGATGTCATGGATGAAACGTTGCACGTAGCCGCTCAACGTCTATACAGGAGAGGGCGCTGCGGTCAGTATATGATCGCATTAAACTTTGCACCATCAGCACCATCAGCACTACCTATGAACAAAATCAGTGTCATCAGCACCACCAGAGCTTCGCCCCAATCAATATCATTCACCACGTGGAGATGCGGTCATTTCTTCGCTCTAGTGGGACTCGCGAATCATAAGCAGATCGGGAGCGTTGCGAGTCTGCCTCACAGATGGCACCCGATGTGCCAGTGCATTCCCTTGTCGTGACCGAAAACAGGTGGTTGCGAGGCAGTCGATCAGACTCAACCGCAAATACAAGAACTGGCCTTGAGAAGAAAATCATTAGTTACCCAGTGCTTACACAGTTTAGCCGAAAGTGAATGGAAGCCACCGCGGCACAAGATGATGGATTTTCGTTAGGACTTACCTCCGTCCATGTACACGACCGTCGAAGGGTCGTCCTCAACGGACGACGAGAGGATGTCGTCCTTCGCCCCCGTGCCTTCCGGTTCCTTGGGCTGTCCTTGCTGCGAACGTGCAAAAAACATGACGTTTGTAAAACACGTGCTCCCTAAAAAGGCAATGAACTTTAAAAGAAATGCCTCAGTGCATGCTTGCGGGGATAGAACACGTACGTCAAAAAATATACTTTTCCCGCAAAAAAAAAAAAAAGAAGGAACACTTTTAGTGCCATTTTTACATCGCGAGCTGCATTTGAGCGATTCGGAAAGATGCTTTTTTTTTTATCAAGGTCGAGGTCTTGAAATACATCAGTGTTTAAGAATCGCTCCTAAATTAAGATGTGTCTCGCGGCGTTAATATTGGCAGATACTACTGTCAAACTTCAAAGAGCTGGCACTCGCCACGCGTGTTAGACCAATTCAGTATTGTTCAGTGTCCTGCTGAGCGAGTCAAGGGGCCGCCTACTACAAAGAATGTGGCGCAGTCTCAACGCAAGTCTCAGCTCAAACGGTGAGCACCTCAGCTGAGACAGAGCGCGCCGCGCCGGTTGGGTCACTTGCTGGAACCGAAATCGGAACTGTCTTAATCCAGTCCGTACTCAAGTTCGTTGCCTACAACGGAGTGACCAGTACCTAAATATAAAAGTGGGATGGAAAAAAAACACGAAACCGCGAGGCGGTAAACGAGCCGTCCAACTTGAGCTACCGTCGCCTTCTCTTTTAGAGTCGTCTTTGGCACTGGATGGTATTTCCAATGGTCTACAACGGCTACACCCGACGGCAGACTCATAATTGTTTTATAGACATTGTGCAAACTGTAGTAAAATGCCGCAAAAAAATATTAATGACTCGCAAATTTAAGAGTTTAGAGCCTACCAGTATAATCGTTATTTTTCGTGTCAAGAGTATTACATCGCATCTTGCCGTCATCACTGACGTCTCGAGAATACGCTAAAGGAAGTAGGTTCCTACGCAAACGTCTGCGTTTTTCTTTTCTGTATAGTTTGTTATTAGTTTGTTTTTTCTTGTAGTAAAAATAGTGTCTGGTGGGTATTATTTTGTAGATGTTGGTAATGAACAGCCCGCATTTTTATACAAATGATTTAAAAGACACTGGTCCACCTTGATCTCTCCAAGACGACTTACGTAAACATGATGCCATAACGGTCAAGCTGAGACTGTCGTTGCAGGCCCTCCTCGTCAACCACGTCCCAGGGGTGGAAACGGATAATTAAACGTAAAACGAAGAGCGTCCCCAGTGCATAGTGCCCAGGTCGGCCCTTTTGTTTCGTCTGAGACCGACAGTAGCCCGGCTCCAGGAGTATCTCAAGATTTAAGCCCTGAATTGAGTTAGAATCTTAGTTTCGGTCTTACAACCAGTCTTACTTCGTTTTGAGCAAGTGACTTAGCTCGCTGAGACTGACGCTCGGCTGGGACTGTCTCAGTTCCGGCATATAACGGTTCTAGCAAACGGCTCAAATATTTTTGCGATGTTTCACACTTAATAATTAACACAGATTGATTACCTATCTCTTCAACATTAATTTGTGCGCAACCAACCAACTACAACCATTTAATGGATTTCCGACCACGTGACTGCTTGTTCTGACAGCGAGTTGAGGGGTGAATGACGGTGCTTGTTTTTCTTTAATTTTCTTTTACGACTATGATGGCGTTGCGCGAAAAAACAAGGCGTATTTCATAGGCTATAAACGTTAAAGTAATTCGAAGCCGTATTTGAACTGGGTCGAACACCTCCTAGACAGCTCTTGGGATTGCGGTGTGGGCGATAACGGAATAAACGACTGCATGTCGTTGAACCAATGCGAATTGTGTCCTTGTCTGAGACAAGCACCAGCAAGAAAATTCCACCAGCCTTTAAAGGGACCATGAAATGACCTTTTTACTTTTTCCAGATAACTTTTACATTAAACCGTCAACGTTCACTGAATGCCGAACAGGCATCCGTTTTCGTCTCGGTTTATTAACTTCTACACAAAAAATTATTGAAATATCGACTTTTTCATTCTCTCCAACTGACCGCAAAACAAGCCGTGACGTAGGCCGTTTCCGGAACCGGAAGTTCTCTCGGCAGTAGGAGAATGGGAGTGTTAGCGGCAACGAGTTGGGGTGCGCCGGTAGGTTTTACTGCGCTGATGTCACCGACGTATTTCCTGAATCGGCGCCTCTCATCGCCGCATCGCAGCTGAGCGAAATTCAATGAAATATGTTGCGCTACAGCGACAGCATGGGACTAGTCCCATACGCCGGTATGCCTGTTGGGAAGTGCAGCGAGTCTTCCGGTGAAGACTCCAGAAGTCAACCACCCTGTCATTGTTGGCAGAAGGGCCGGCCCGTGTCAGTCGTTTGCAAAGCGACGTAGATGGCGTTTTTCGCGGCCTCGGAGATGCAACAGCGAGCCGACGTTAAAAAAGATACGTTTGAACTACGAGTGTCAGCAAGAGCCACGTAAATACCTGTTTACACTCGGAGTGGACGCGCGCGCTTGATGGAAGTGCTGTATTCGCGCTGTTTGTAAGCGCTTCGGGACCGTTCTTTTACGATTGCAACTCGATACTGACGCGACACTCGGCAAAGAAAGGTTGGACCGGGGTTGTACGTATACCTCCCACGAACTGTTATAGCTCGACAGTGACGTGCAGTCTGTCAGAATAAAAATGGCATACCAATAACAAAGTGTACATACCGTGTTACGAAGGTAATCCATACGGCGTTTATTTCAGCTCTATATCACACAAAACAAGAAGATAGAATCGACGAGAGTCCCTTTTCGACGAGTGTTCGTCAACACTGCCTCGGAAAACAAGGGGAAGAGATTGACCTCACCTCTTAATCTAGAATTGAGGTCAGTGATCAAACTATAATACGGGAAGGGTCCACAAGGGTCGCGCGTGCATATTCCATTTAGCACGCCAGCCGGTCGTAGGCAGACGGTCTTGCGACGAAGCAACGCAGCGCCAAGTCGGAATGCCTGCTAGGCCTATATTCTGAGCAGCTCGCTTCGTCGGAGTCGGTGGATCCAGCGTTCTTGTTCGTCGTGGTCTGTTTTAAGTACTGTTTTCTTGCTGCTTGAAGTCGGCACGCGCGGGAAGAACACGTAGAAAAATAAACGTTCAGTCAGTCAGAGTTTTGAGAGGAAGGAAAACAAAGAAAATAAATGTTCGTCGGTCGCCGCTACCCAAGTAACTGTCGGCCCTGCCCTACTGCGCACGCGCAGTAGTTGCTTCGTTTACCACACGATAGATGGCGCTTGGCTCTCAGCATTATCAAATTTGGCAATTTTCACCACACATCTCTAATTATGCTACAAAATGTGGATCTGAATATTATTTAACAAAACTTTTAGGAAACATTCGCCGGCTATTTATTGTTTACGATCGCGGTGCTGGTGAGCTAGGCTCTTACCCAATAGGCGACCTGGATTTGGCTGACGTGCTCCGTTTCCGCGGATGCATCGTAGTGAACAGGCGAAGGAAGGAAGGCGCAAAAGAGTCCAGTTTTCTTTTAAAAGTTCTATAGCAAATAAATTTTTTTTGGCTCCCTATTTTTGTGTTTTTGTGTTTCTTTTCACACCTTTTACGACGTGCGGTGGATGAAACTCGATTTTAAAATCAGTTCATGGTCCCTTTAAGAGATCACAGGAGGTCACAACGCACTCGGCACAATCAAAAAGCCAATGAGTGAAGCAGGCTTTTGGGAGCCCTCCAGTACCAACCTGTGGGGAAGTTGGTTTCGTCCGCGGAGTGACTGTCGAGCTTCGTGAGCAGCCTCGGAGCACCTCAGACACCGTCGGCGTGTGCGTCTTCGGTTCCGCCAGGGACAGGTCGGATAGGTGGAAGATCTCTTCCTGGAAATGAAGTGGTATTTAAACAGAAATGGGTTGCAGTGCGTTATCCACTTTGTTTAAGCGAGGAGTTAAAGAGTGCACACACACCACATAGGTGTTATTCACTGAGCGTCCAGTTCAGTTTTAGAATATACCGTTGAACTTTCTTGTAGGCCCGTGCAGGCATGGGGCAGAAAAAATCGATGATGAACAACAAACACAAAAACACGTATTAATTATCATTTCACACTAAGTAAAAAAGTTTTTTGAGGTCATTTTTGGATATACCTTAGTTCTTTGGGTACGCACGCATAACAAAATCGTCATCGCACGATTTTAATTTTATTTATTATAAATCATAATATAATGCTCGGCCCACTCGTAAGAACGTGCACAAAAAGTTGCGAACGCAACGGGAATATTTAAAACGAGTCGCTGTTAGTCGCTTTATTGAGATAATAACTCAGAGAAAGATATTACTGTAGTTTGTTTCAAGTTTAGGATATCGAGACAATTAGCCCTTTTCAGAATTAAGCCTCTCCGCTCGCCATGATCGGTGGTCTTTAGCTCTTCAGCGTTTGTTATCCTAAAATGAAAACAAGGAAGCACTTTGTTGGGGGAGCTTTTCCTGCTATTCTAAACGTGCAATGGACAATCGACAAATTTTTTACCCTCAAACGAGAGCAAAGGGAGGATTCCCTATCTTAAATGGCCCACAGGAACTTTCTTTCTTCAATATGATATAAGAAGGTTTGTAAGTAAAGTATTATTTTCATTTGTAAGATGTGACTGAGGCAAGTTTCTTAAGCGATCTTTTCACGCATCAAATGCGCTACGTAGTTGTACCTACATGGTAAATTACGGCGTCCTAGCGTGCGAAACTGATTTGCGCAATTTCTAGAAAGTTTGTTCGAGCCATGTGACTCACCCCGTAGAAATAGGACCCTCACTGCCGAAAACTGAACGAGCACTTCTAACAGTGTATCAACACGGCGCATGTTAACTGGTCGAGTCTGTTGCTACTCTATGCATACTAAATGTAAATTATTTCCTCAAAACCTGCCCCGAAGACGCCGTTTTTTTATGAAGCAAGATTCACTAAATGATGCCGCTGTGAAAGTGGTGTCAAAATGCATAAAGCAGAAGCAGAAGCGGATATGATTTTCAGTCTGTCAGCGCTACCTATATAAATGTTCGCCAAGTGTAAGCACGATGGGGG